TGACACAGGAGACAAGAACTGCCACATTTCACATGTTAGATGCCTCAAAAGAGGACCTAACCCAATTTATACTGACCTCATTTAGCTAGGGATGCTGTTTGAGTCTGGAGGGGAAGAAAACAAAATTTGTGAACAAACAAGATGTGTCTGCATGCTCCGAGGTGGGAGTGTTTTCCCCGGGTCCTTGCATTAGTTACCGGGCTACAAACAGGTTAGAGCTCGTTTAGTGCTGGCCTGGCTAATGATCATTGTGTTGCTTTGAACTTAATCAGTTGATGAAGAAGCAGCTGTCTTTAGAAATTCTCATCAACAAAATTCTAGGTAACAAGTGGCCTCGAGAAAAAGGAGCCACATGCATTTTTTTTTATAGATTCTTGCAGAAAATGTGTATCTTTTTTTTGTTCAGTTTACGAAGGAGTGCATATTTGTGGTAAATCCATGAAAAGTATCAGTTGTGGAAAAGGAAACACCAGCAAGTAAGTGATGTAGTTTTATTTAGCAAGAAAGCAAAATATTAATATAAGGGGAGAAAATTAAACGTTTTGTTTGATAGTGTCAGTTCTGCCATCACAAAGAGAACAAATGAAAACCTCAACAATCAAGCCAGAATAATGGCAATTTGCTGAGTGCTTGTTACTCCCACTCACTGTAATGATAGCTCATTTCTGTCCCAGTTTTTATGGGCTAATCAGTTTTCCCTGTAGCCATAATTATTAGGGATTCAATGTAACACACATCAAGCAAGCCGAGTGACACAAATCAAGAACACCCACACACCGTACCGTTTCTGCTTGATGTAATAAAGTGCTGAAAGGGAGATTTTCCATAAACTTTTAATTTATGAAAAAAGTTTCTATAATAATTCCCATTTGTTTTTGACCATGTCTGGAACTTAAGCACTGAACACAAACTGCATTCCTCAACGGCCAGAGTCCTGCAACCTTCAGGTGTGTCCCTTTGTCCTACACATTTGATTTAAATAGTGAAAGTGTCTCACTAACATGCAGTCAAACTCTAAAGAGCTTTGCTAATGAGCTCATATTGGAGTCAGGTGTGCTGAAGCACAGAACTGGAGGAGGACTGGAGTTTGAGACCACTGATCTAAAGGCAGATTATGAGACACAAGGCTCTGCTAAAGTCTGACTAGTCCCTAAAGTATCATTCGTGAGTAAAAGTTACACTCCATTGCTCTTTAAACTTTCCCTAAAGCTACTTTAATGCTGTTTTTATCTTGTGGAAAGTATGAAAAAAATCAAATCAAATCAAATTAGTGTGAAAAAATGTAAGAAACAATTATTTCAAACAAGACCTGAAAACAACAGTTATTAAAAATGAATGAGAAACGGCATGCAACTACAGGGAAAATGAACCCACTATCTATTATAATAAAAAGTTGGAATATGAATAAGTTAGCTGGAGATATATATTGACTCTGCTTTTTTTAATTATGGCCTCTACAAGGAGCCTGAACTAAATATAATTTATCAGCTACTGCTTCTCATCATGCTTCTGCTAAAGAGAAGAAAAAATGATTAGAAAAAGAAGAGAACAACCTCTAATATATGAAGTGGCTTGCAATGACTAAAACATGAAAAAGAAGCAGGTGAGCACAGTTACAAAAGATCCTCTCACAATGAGAATAATCAAATGTAAGATAATTCAGAGTTGTCATGAAATATGTTGATGAAGGTTGAAATGCCTCTACCAGTGTCAAAGCATTTATTTTAATATTCTTTAAAAGCACGTCTAACTGCACTGTGTATGAATGGTGCTATATGAATATACTTCCCTTTCCCATAGCAACTTGACTGAAAAGCAGCTTCACACAAGCAACTGGTCCAAGGCTTGAATATTTACAAACCCAGAAGAATCTTGACCCTTTTCACAAGATTTTTTTCATGTTCTGTATTCTCAGTTATTAAAACAATATATCTTTGTATGTTCAATGCCCATTAAATTAGAGTGCTGGTGGAAAACATGAGCGCTGGATGTTGTTGCTGACCAAAAACATCCTTTCATGTCGTCCAGGTGCAGTTTGATTTGTGAACTCTCGCCACTGGTAATTCACGCCTTAACATTTGCCTTTAGCAACTCTGGAAAGTATGTTTATTTGTCTGCTAAATGCCCACCTTTGGAAAGCAGCGGCTCTTTACAGTCGCTATGTTTCCTAGCAACATAGTTTTTGTGCATTATGTGCAGTGCAAACTGTGACCTGTGTTGAATTGAATTGGGTCTAAAATTTGACAAAGTTCAATCAAAAATGATATGGTTGGAGATCAGAAATGCTGGTTATACCGATGCCCATCTATTCTTATTTGGATCTCTTTCTATACATCAATAAATTAGACTGCTGGATTTTTAAATCCAGCAATTGATGATTACAACAGCTCTATCTGTATCACTGATATAAAGTGTTGAACATATTGAATATGTGAAAATATACATTACTACATCTGCATTTTCATTTTGCCTAGATTTTTTTATTTTTTTTAGTTCTTCTCTCCTCTTTCTCACCTATGTGTTGTGAGTGGTGCAAACAAAAGTGAAAAATAATAAAACCAGAATTTTTAGCTGGTATTTGAGGGGCACACTCTTTCTTTTATTACTTTCTTTCAGTTTCCCTCTAACTTTTTTTATTCCACTTCTAATGTTCCTCTGCCTCTTCTCTCTGGCCTCTGAACATCCTCCTCTGGGTTGTGTGCAAGCACGTACGTGCCAGTTTATCCTGCGGCACATCTTTTTTGTTTTTATGTAAAACTGGATGGAAATAAAGAACAATCATATTCAGATAGGGAAACTTCTGATCTGATTTTTTTTTTTCTCGTGGTTGTAGTAAAACTATATAAAAACACTGTGGTTTTGTGCCTCCTGACAAATCTTTTAAACGCTGAGGTTTGATGGGTTATCAGGAGGTAGATTTCTGGTTCCCATGCCACTATGGCTCTCTCCATGCGCTACAATACAAGGGGTTGACGGACATTAGGATTTCCTTTTATCGCATATGTCAGATTATGTCTGAGCAAAAACTCAGAGTAGTAACAAGTGGTGGGGACTACCACAACCATTTGGCCAGTAAAATAGTTCTTTAAGATGGAGACCAAACTCAGAGACACTGCTGACCAAGGACTGATTTCCTGGGTAACTGGAAGTGCACCTGGTTTTTTTTCTTTCTCTTTAATGCCCCTAAGTTACATAAAATTTAACTAAAACCATCCCAAAATGCCCTGCTGTTTTAGCTGCAACAGCACTTACTGTAAGCTAAATGTGGTTAAAGGATAAAGTTTTAAAAGCATCACTACTGTATTTCTGACCAACTGAGTGACCGCAGTCAACACTTGACACTCAGACAATTAATTTGGTTATTTTTGCTGTTTAAATAGCAAAACATTGGACTCTTTGTCTTTATTAAATTATTGATCATTACTGTGAGTAACTAAGAATCAACTCTCCACAAAGTTATTCATCTATAATTCAGTCAAAATAATGTGTTGTTTTTGGAAATGCATACCATGTTTGTCAATTTGTCTAAACTAATTCTTATTTCAATTTAGAGCTAATCGGCATCAAAAGCAAAATAATTATTACCTGAGGCATTTATTATTACATCAACCATATCTTTGGTATGCATGGCGTTTTTTGGTGCAATTTTCTAAAAACAAAACTTATCTGACTATCAGATTGTGCATGCTGTAATATCAGATGAGCAGAACTGATGTGGTTCAACATTTACTTTAAGGTGTAAAGTAGATACGCAAGATACGCGTATCTATAATACGCGTATCTTAGATACGCATATCATAGATACGCAAGACTAAAGCAGTGTGTGATGGGGATCTAGGAATTAATGCATAAAAAGGACTCATGCAAAGCCTGCAGACAGTGTTTGCATCATAACGTCAACAGAACAGAGGGTTGAATGGATCATGCTTTGCCGTCTATTGTTCAGCAGGATTTCCATGAGGTATTAGAGTCGCATCAAAGAACTGTGAATATCATTCTCAAACGCATTGGGTCATAACCAAAATAGTGACTGACAGTAAAAAAAAAACATAAAGTTTAGAATTATCCTCATTTCAGCAAATAGATCAGTTTTGATTATTGTGCACAAATAGCAAAAACGGAGTAACATTTAACACTGTAAATCACTGGCTTCCATTCTTTCCTTATATTGCTTACAAACACAAAATCTCTGTTACAACTGGATCCTCTGCCTTTGTTTTGGTCCATAGTGTGTAAACATCTTTCCTTCTAAGTTGCCCATAATGCTTCTAAATTATTTCGCTTAAGCTAGCTAAATATGCAGAAGAATTTGCCTTCATCTTCTCCAAATATTCCTGTAAATTTGTGCTGCGTGGAATATTCACAGTCATCCGGTGTCATCGTCGGAAACTGCTAAGAAAGAATGAAGTGATCCCAAACTGATTCATGCTGGACTGGAGCCTTTCTAAATGAGGAAGCTAAACCGTGAGGGACTTCCTGGCAGGAGAATCTGATTTTCACTCCTATAGATTTATCTAAGTGAATAATGTAATATAGACAGTGTTGCTGTATCTCTGTCAAGCCAACCCCGGTCTTATGTCAGCAAAGATCTGGGTCACTACCCCCAAGTGTTTCCCACTGCTTTCATTAAACATTAACTATGTCTAAGTATATTTCTATGTCCTCGCCTCTGAAAACCCAGATGAGCTCCACTTGGAGAGAAAATACGATGCAAGGCAGCTGATATGTTACTCCATCTGCTCCAATGAAAGGAATGTATGGAAGTTTTTGCTCTTTTTTTTTTTTTTTGTTTGTTTGAGCAGCTTTTTCCCCATCTAAAAACAAACTGAGATGGAGTTTTGTTTGTTTTGTTTTTTTACAGCAATTTAATCTTAATAGATATATAAAATCTAATAACCTGAACTGTGTTTGTATAAGACTACTAAGATGGCTATATTTTTAAAATGGAAGACAAAAACTGTGACGGTAACAGAATTTAGAGAAAAAGATGCCGTTCTCACCGAGGTCACGTATTGTATATCCCGGCACAGTTTTGTTTCTCGGGGAAAGTCAGCCAGTTCCAGGAAGTTGTCCACCACCACTTGGCCAATCAAATCGTGTCGTGAGAACCTGTCAAAGTCATAGACGCTGAAGTGCAGCTTGCGGCTTGACAGCTCAGCATACTCCACGGGAAACAGAAACACCTCATCAAACACTGGGTTGAGAGTCTTGCGGTGCACCTTGGTTTGGTGCTTGGTTTTGCGGTCAGGCAGCAGGTAGATCTTGACATAAGGGTCAGAGGTCCCTGAGAAGTCCTTGGCAGGCAAGTCCTGGGCCTTATGTATCTTCACAATAAGCTGCTCCAGGTCAAAGTCAAACTTTAGGATGAAGTGAAGACGACCGCAGCTGTCAGTCCGACGACCGTCTTCAGCATCTACAGATCGCTGCTTGTAGAGCTCTGGTTTTATCCGGCCCAAACCGGACAGGGAGTCCTGGCGCTGAAACTGAGCTGGGTTGAAGTCGGGATTAGACAGGTTCATCTGACGACGAATGGAGTTATGCCTGTGAAAACGTATGTTAGTCTTATGACATATCAGGTGTGACACATTTAACATTATGGAATCACAAAGCAACCGGTGCATATAAAACTTAATATATCCTTCTTAAAATGCCAGGTTTCAGTGACATAAAACAATGTGAAATAATTTCAGAACCCTTTTCTCCCATTTATATGGCAATAATCTGTACAATGTAATGTCAAAGACAAATACCGCACGACTGCCCCAATTACAAATTTCCACTGGAATGTTCATAAAGTCATCTGCAAGCACACAATTGCAACTATTTTTATTTCAAGACAACTAAAACAAAATAGTTTTCTAATAGCTATTGAGTTTTGTGAAACTCAATCTCTCATCAGCATTGAATTGAATTGAACTCCAAACACTGGAACAAAACCTTCAGGGACTCATTTCTACTAACCGTACAGACGAGGTAGGCTCAGTAATTTGCCTCTGAACCCTGTCTCTGGCCAGAGTGTGAACTTGGTTCTTCTCCACTTTAGTCTGGGTCTCTAGCGGGATGTCAGGTGATGTGTGGCTTATCTTCAGGGCCGACTCGGGCACGGTCACAGCCGAAGGGGGGCCCGATGGTTCCTTCACACAACCATCCTCGCTGTATTCCCTTTCTTCTCCGTCCACCTAGACAGCATCCAGCAACATTTATGTTACTACAAACAGGTTGGCAGAAATATTACCTGTGAATATAACCGTCGAATCAAAAACATGTTGAATAGTTTTTTCTTCTCTTCAAAGCAATGACATTTGAAAAATTTGTAATGGTTGCTAATTGTTTCATAATTGGCTACTGTATTAGGTTTTTATGTACATCACTTTGAACTGCCTTGTTGCTGAAATGTGCTACACAAATAAACATGATTTTGTTATAAAGACAGATCTAGAGAATTGTCATGTATTTAAGAATGCCAGAATGCCACCTGGCTCATGAAACATACACCTTATACATACGTCCTAACTCGCACAAACATTTAACCAGAATTATCATGTACATCTGGACTCCAAAGCATGTCTGAATTTGTGCTTGAACAAAGTATTTGTATTCAATAACACATAAATGAGCTGTTTGTTATAGGTCATAGGTCAATTTTGAGTCTGTATCCATTATAGGTCGCATTGCTAAAATGAAACATCATCTCATGGAACAACTTCTTTACCTCTGTGAGGACAGGTTGTTGATCTCCTCCCAGGAAGTGCGCCCCCTTGAGGACATCTGGGAGGAAACGGCCACTTAGTGGCAACCAGCACAGTTTCCATGAGACAAAGAGAGAGACGCTGAAGAGCGCCAGACCACAGGTGGTCACCAGTAGGGACAGCAGACTCACTGATACATCTGCAGAGAAAGAGCAGGTGTTCAGTGAACAGGCAGTGAAAAACGCTAGCACAGACAAACCTACAGCAGAGTTCCAGGGATGGCAAGCTGCATTCGTTCAGACTCCTACATGAGAACACAATGTGACCTTTTTTTTTTTTTTTTGTAATGCAACTATTACAAAAGATGATGTAGTCATGCAAGTATAGTCCACGGATACTTTCAATTTGTGGTGTACCTTATCGGTATTTTGATCCAACAAGATTATTATCGGATCAAAATACCAATAAAATATTGCTCTTAACCAGGTCAAAACCTTATCTGATTTTGATCCAATAAGGTTATTATTGGATAGAAATACAGATAACCTTTTTCAGAAAATAAAGATAAACTTGGCTAATTTCAATTCAGTTCACAGAGTGGGGTTCTTAAAATATTTAAATTGCTTTTCAAGTCAGCAAATATGTTTCCCTTCCTTTCTCATCATGACTTCTCTTAAAACAAAAAGTAAAATAACTTTTTTTAGTGTTTTGCAGCAATTTTGTTGCATTTTTTTATTACTAAATATTTAATTGAGAATGTATAATCATGCAAAAATTTAACAAGTCTCCATCTCTAGCAGCAGTCTTCACAACTGCAACCCAAGTGGCACTAACCTACTAAGTGTATAAATGTTGGCATAATCAATCTGGGACATCAGAACTTGTGATGTCTGCAAAGCTTTATGTTCTTTCCCTGTTGTTTGTCTTAAAATTCCACCTTCATTCCAACCTTGTTAATGATGTGTTACCTTCAAGATAAACTTAGTCTTCTCATATAACTATTTACAAAGTTTGAACATGAATGGGATCTTCATGAATCATTTCTGTGCTCATTTGGTTATATATTTTGGATCATAATTCTGATGTACCATAACAATCCATTTTCAATGTTAGGTTCTCAAGCCTTTTGGGGAAAAAAAAAAAAAAAAAAACAGACCTACAGTATCACAGATCCTCTGCCATGCTTTACAACTGACATAAGATGTTTTCCTATTACTTTTTGAAAAGCTGAATTTTAGTCTCAATTCACTTTGTCACAGCTAACGACCCATCAGAGCAGAGTTTTAAAAACTTCACTCATCTGTGATTGTAGGACAAAAAAAAAAGCCTTCTAATACAACAGGTTGCGACGTACATGATGTTGGTCTAATGTCCCATTTCCACTGACTCTCGTGGCTCAGCATGGCTTTACTCAGTTTGACCTCACTCTATTCCACACAGAACCTGTAGTGTTGAGAAATGGATGGCTCAAGTTCTGGCTTGAACCCCCACATCCATCCACCAGAGTCTTCCTCTATTAACTGTAACTGTGGGCCATTTTGTAGTGGCTCATGCACTCCTTAAAATGTATGTATATTTCTTGACAATAGCATGAGTTGACATAGTAAAATTATGCTTTGGTTTTATGCACGCTCCTACGGTTGTGGATTTCTCTCTTTATTGACACAGTTGAGTCTTATTAACTTTTCTCTGCACAACTCAGTAAAAACCTTCTCGATTCTCCTTGCTCCATAGTCAATCAGTAAATTGCTGTGAAATGAGAAGAGCAGGTGCTAGACTGGAAATGCATTGAAAAGCATGCAAAGGAAGTTGAGTAGAGTAAACTCTGTGTATGGTGACATGGAGGCAGGAAATACTTGGTGCCTCTCCAACTTTGTTTGTAAAGTGTTTAGTTGTTTTAAACAGAAAGCTAACACCTCAAACAATCTAAAACAGTAAATACTACCCCACTAAAATGCTCTAGTTATGTTTATTTTGGGATAGTAAGAGAGATTGGGATAGTAAGTTTCACCTTTCATCTGAGTACAAAGGTAATTTCATAATCATAGAGGAAGTGCTTTTTAGCCTGCATACACACTCACAGCTGAAAGCTTACACATGCACACACCTAAGTGCTGAACATCACAGAGGCTTAAGGTTTTGGAGTAAGACCCTCTAGAGGGGGTGTAGCATAGAGAATAAGAACTGAAGTTTGGTTCCTGGTTTGCTGCTTCTCTTTACTCACAAGTGGACTAAGCTGAAGTTCCACCGCAGGGACAGATTCTCTGCATCATGACAAGTGACATTTTGCTTTGTAATTGATTGAGAATTGTTTACATTAACTCTTTGAACTTCTCCCGAAATTCCCTTAATTGTCGAGTCCTTGTCCACCTAAGGAACCAGGTGTTTCATTGACAGGCACAAGGGTGCAGCACTGAGGCACATTTATTTTAAAGTCAAAAATTATAGAGACTTGTTCTAGGATGTAAGAATTTCACATCATTCATGGTGTTTCCTGTTAATAAATCTTAGACAGATCAGTTTACTTGTTCATATTATGTATCTAATCCTATTTGAGGAGGAAAGATATATCCAGATCTATGACAGCAAACAACAGACAAGAACTAGGATTCTCTGTGCACTGGTTGTCAGTCAAGTTAAGTTTAATCAAATTAGATTCAAAATTAACTCCCCGGAAATGAAAACAATCTGATTTAAACTAAAACAATTCAGTTTTATGTGCATGTTTCTGCACATGTTCACCTACACAGTAGTATTTCTTCCATAATTCCTATTCCATTTAGACTGCAAACCGTATAGCAGAAAATTGGTATCAATTAAGTTCAATCACAGGCATTGATGAGTCCCTTCTATTAGTGAAACTTCCACCATGTCATTCACTCTGGAGCTTATTAGTATAAACATGGTTTTATCTAAATGACAAATGGAGCTAAAGTCAAAAGAGACAGAAGCAATGCAATAGAGAAGTATTCTGAACCTGAGTAGAAAACTGTGGATGAATAAGCTAGGTTTGTATTTGGAAAAAATAAAAAAATTAAAATACTCTGCCATGACGAGATAAAAACAAAAAAAAAAAAAAAAAAAAAAATTTAGCCTTACTACACATCTTTTTTG